GGGAATAACTAAAATTGATAAATCCTTATTGACTTTGTTAGGTAAACAAACTTTCAAAGTACTTAATCGTCAAATGTTGATGTTCTCAACTAATTCATCTGAAAAATCAACCATGGCTCGCCATAACGAAGTTTACCTCCTTGTTTGAACTATAAGTACAAGCCAAGCATTTCCTCAGTAGAGTAAACTTAATATAGTCAGACACTCTAAAAAGATTGACTTCGTTTTCTTCGTCAAACATTTTCATTATTTGTTAATATATATAATGAAATTATTTTTTTTTGTGAGAATTTTTGTTTTTCACAGAATATTTTACTTTAAAAAATATATATATATATTTTTTTATTTATTATCAATAAAATTATAAACTGATTAATTTAAGAATAACTTTATAAAGAATAAATATAATAATGCTAATAATATCAAATAAATTGTATAACTAACTGTTTTTCCTAGATGAAAAATATTTTCCTATTTGAAGATTTTTTTTTTTTTCCTCTTTATTAAAACGAGCACATATGTCGACTCAATGTCGTTTATGGTACCGAAGGGTTCGAATAAAGCTGACTTGGCATTTTTTGACTTCCCTTCGGTTAGTGAACTTAGCGCAGTGCCTATCAATTGAACTCAGCGTGTGAAAATAGCATTCTTATTCGATTCATCGAGCATTGAATGTCATTTTTTTTTTGTTTGCGAGGAAGAATAAATTCCCTTATGAAAATTCGAAATGTGCTTCTATATCCCTTGTGAAATTTATTAAGTTTCCTCTGAAAAACCGCTGACCGTTCACTTTTCAAACGAACCTCTATATATACTATATCTCTTCACAAAACTTCTTTCCCTAAAGATGAAATAAGTTTTCATGGGTGCAGAAAACTTTGTGCCTCGTTATTTGTTTTACCTGATACGGCTCACTTGGCAACATACATATATATATAATTTCTATTAAAATGAAAAGTTTATATTTCTTACTATACTTTTAGATTAATTTAAATATTGATTCTTTATATAGAGTATTAAAAAGAGAATTTCTTCTATTTACTGTTGTTGCGTCACAACATATATATATAATTTTTATTTATTCATATCATTCTAAAATTTTCCAATTCAATTAAAGCTTATGCAAAGTTTAATTTGCAGAAATAGAGCTTCAATATTTATACTTATATATTAAAAGAACAAATTTAATTTTCCAAACGAACAGAGCACTCAAATAAATATATTACGTCAGTAAAGAATATAACATAAATGTTCTTAAAAATAAAATAAATAATTTATTTATTTAAATAATATTATCATTATCTTGAATTGAAAACTTATAGAAAATTTTGGAATTATTCAGAATTTGTTGAAAATTTTGATAATAAAAATTTAAACTGAGAATTTGAACTTAAATTTAGAATTTGTATAAAAAATCTGAGAATTTTACTTTTTAGATTTTTCTTGAACTGAGAATTTGATGTTAAACTTACAAATTAGAATTTGAACTTTTTCTTAAACTTATTTGAAACTGATTATTTTAGAATTGTGACCCGTTTTTAACCATATTTGTCCCCGTTTAATTTTTGTATGATCTCCAAATTTGAGGAAAATTAAAATCCTTAAATATAATGGAAAAGAGGGATTGGATATTTTAAGGTCCTCTAAACAACCGTAAATTGGGTTCATAACCATCCCCATAGCAACCGTTACCATGGTAGTAAAAGTTACCTGAGCATAGGTCACAAAACAACAAACCGGTACAAACCGGAAGTCAATATTAACGTTTATATATAAAAAACTCCAATGTCGTTAAGTAATTTATTTCCCTGGAGCGCCACTGTAAAAAGAAGGTACTAAAATAGTACCGATTTTAGGTATTAAAATAGAACCAAAAGGAAATTTAGTACCTAAAATTGGTATTAAATTCACAGAAAATTAAAAGGCATCAAAGTAAGCTGCAACGCTTATTATTTTAATCCAATTTTGCTTATTTTAATCCATTTTGGTATTAAAATAAGCAAAATTGGATTAAAATAAGAAGCGTTGCAGCTTATTTTAATACCTTTTAATTTTCTGTGTTAATACCTTTCGTTTTACAGTAAGGAGGACTTATTTATATGGAAATTAATTTATGAATAAATTTATATTAAAAAACCCATAACATGGGAGCGAAATTAATTTACAAATAATATACTTATAAATTATTTCTTCCTATATTACAAAAAGATATCGCCGCCTCCGCCGCCGCTGTTTCAAGAATTCTTGACCTAGGAGGGGGGAGTCCCCCCTCCTAAATTTTGAGGTTATGTTCGTTTCAAGGCTCTGAATTTAGCCGCAAGTCCCCCTCCCTCCCTCCTCTCATTTCCCCTCCTCTGTCAAAAATGACCTTAATTTTGAGGTTATGTTCGTTTCAAGACTCTGAATATAGCCGCAAGTCCCCTCCCCTTCCCCGCCAGAAATGACCTAAATTTTGAGGTTATGTTCATTTCAAGGCTCTGAATATAGCCGCAAGTCCCCCTCCCTCCTCTCATTTCCCCTCCTTCATCAAAAATGACCTAAATTTTGAGGTTATGTTCGTTTCAAGACTCTGAATATAGCCGCAAGTCCCCTTCCCTCCCCCGCCAGAAATGACCTAAATTTTGAGGTTATGTTCGTTTCAAGGCTCTGAATATAGCCGCAAGTCCCCCTCCCTCCTCTCATTTCCCCTCCTTCATCAAAAATGACCTAAATTTTGAGGTTATGTTCGTTTCAAGACTCTGAATATAGCCGCAAGTTCCCTTCCCTCCCCCGCCAGAAATGACCTAAATTTTGAGGTTATGTTCGTTTCAAGGCTCTGAATATAGCCGCAAGTCCCCCCTCCCTCCTCTCATTACCCCTCCTCCGCCAAAAATTGACCTAAATTTTGAGGTTATGTTTGTTTTAAGTCCCTAATAAAGCAGTAAGTCCTTCCCCCTTCCCTCATCTCTCTCTGTATTTCCCGCCAAAAATAGGGGGGGTTGGCGCGCGAAGCGCGCAGGGGGGCGTAGCCCCTCTAGTATTATATATAAAATAATAACTTTGATCTGAATTTAAAAGGTCATGAAACCCTAGATATAGGCGCCCTAATTTTTATAAATTACAGGATTGATAATTTAGAAATGGCTATCATAAATAATTAAATATGTTCTTGTTCATCTTAATTATAACCTTCTGATAATTAACAATGTATAATTATTTTAGAATCGTATTTTAAAATAAATATGCGGAATTAACAATTGTTATAATACAATTATATATTTTTTTTTTTATTGTAATCTGAAGGTATACAATAGTAGATTAAATCGATTCGAGGAGAGTTCTGTCATTTTGAGCATTACAATGTAATCTAATTCAGAGAACTGGAGAGGGAATCGAAATATAATTTGTGTCGAGACCAGATGTAATTTGTATTGTCGACTGGTCGCATTAATTTTGGCGGATGTAGTTCTGCATACGCACGTGTGCTGTTTACCGTAACATTAGTTCAATATAGAGAGAGAGAGAGGTTGGTAAAACATTCTATTTTAATGATTATATTGAATATAAACTATATAATTATCATTAATATATATAGCAATACTGTTTTCTTTAAAAGTATCAAATTTGATACCAAATTGGATCAAATTGATAATTTCAAATTAATCAGTGAATATAAATCTTAAAAACCAAATATGAAAACTATTTCCAAAACCTAATTTTACTTTTCCACCTTTTCGAAAAATAGTTTATCATACATTTATAATGAATAAGTGCAGTAATTATAGGATTTATATAAATTTCAGAGTTCAATAACCAAGAAATGGTAATCTTTCTTGACGCATGTTAAGAAGAGAAATTGTTAATTAATAGTGACGGAAACTAGTTTAATATTACACTATGGCTCTGGTCTTTGTTCTTCAAAGTACTGACTATACTGAGTTAGTTGACTGACAGAGCATTATATAAATTACATATTTAAATTAAGCATACCTTTCTCCGATCTAACGTTTCTAATTCAATAGCAAATAACACACGCAAAAAGAATGGACAATGAGATAGGAATATATGAAAATATCAAATTGTAAAAGCGCATATGCGAGAGATAAGGTGCTTTTCGGATCTTAGATGAAAAGCAGAGCACACGAAGAGTTAGACGGATGAAAGATGAAGGTAAAGGCTTCGAATAATTGAATCGCTGCGTACCATTTATCTTCAAAGCCCTTTTCAATTTCATGCCTACCCACAATGGACCAATTTTGTCAACAATGAAAGCCTAACTTTGATAGTGTTCTCCAAAGAATCACCCTTCAAATTCTTCAATTGGAACTTTTCAATTAATCTTCTAAAAACTTGCTGGTTGAAAAAGTTCTTTCAAAGTTACGCCATTAACTTGGTATTCTCTAATAACTTAATATCTAACCCCTCTGCAAAAAGAAATTTTCCATTGTAATCAAATAACTTTTATTATTTATTAAAAAAAGGAATCATTTTTTTTTCTCTTATTAATGACACGAGATATAGAAATAAAATAAGTTAAGCTTTATTCAAAACAATAAGTTGACTTGAGTTTTATCTTAGAATTTATGCCTTTTTGCAAATAGAAACCAACTTTAATTTCAATTCGCTACGCAAGGCAACTTCAAGTCGCTTCAAAACGGAAGTACTAACTCCCCGTTATCTTAAACGACATCTCTCTCTCTCTCTCTTAGATACATAACTCCTGTGCGCTGGATAAATCTGGATCTGAATTACGGGCCTGAGAGAAGCTCAGTCGAGAACTATGAGATTAAAGTCGTCTTGCGAGAACTGAAAAGTTTTTAATAACCCTTGATTCTTGATTAAGTTATGGCATTTCTTTTTATAAAATCTTCAATGAAAATTAAAAAAAAAAAAAAAAAATCGGACATTTTAACTGATGAACTTCAAGTTTCTACATTTTTCTAAATAAAATAAATTTTCCTAATAATGTTTTTTAACCTTTAATTAAATGAAGTTGATAAATTTTTTCTATTTTGTTTCAGGTTTCGGCTTCGTTACGTTTCAATGCGAAGACGTTGTCGACAAAGTGTGCGAGATTCACTTCCATGAGATCAATAACAAAATGGTGAGTATAATCTTTCTCTCTCTCTGATTATTTCAACGTCCGATTGTCAACTTAAATTTCACCGTAAGCTGAGACAAATTCAAACGATATTTGCTTTCCGCTGAGCTGAGTATAGTACGCCTAGTAGAATTAATTTTCCGGATAATTGAGAAGTACTGTCCTACTCCCAACTGGTTATTTGTGTTTGGCACACACGTATACACACATCCCGCAGATTCTAGAGAGTAAACCAGAAACTACTGAACTTGTGTTGAGATTGTTCAATTGCTCCCACATATCCTTCTCGGGATGAAGTGCAAATGATATAGCATTGAACGGGAAAATCTTCATAAAATTGTCCACTCTCTCTCTTTCTTTCGACTCTAAATCACAATTTCCATTTCATATTTTTATTTTTCTTTCAAATTTACCCGGAAGGTTTACTATTTTTTTTTGTAATCAATTAATTTTTTATTTAAATAACGGTAACGAAAAGCCTTTGGACCCTAATGAAAATATTTCAAAAGGTTTTTAATAACAGGCCTCAGATTGCACGACATTTTTTTTTATTTCTTAAATTTGAATTATTAAAAAGCATATTAATAACTTCAATTGTTTGCATTATTTTCAATAATTTAAAACAAATTCGTCGAAAATTAAATGATTTAAAACAGTTTTCATTTGAACATTCACAAAAATTCAATTATTGTTTAAAGTTTATAAAAAAATTTTTACCAATTCAAAATAAAAGTTTCAATTAATATTCTTCTGAAATACAATTATTATTTCTAAAAATTTTAATTCGAACTCTTCTAAAATACAATTATTTCTAAATTTTGTATCTAAAATTCTTTGTTGAATAATTTAATTTTAATAATTTTAATTTAATGAATATTTTCGAAAATTTAATTCCTGTGATTCAATTAGTTCGAAAAATTTTAACAAATGCTCTTCTAAAACTCAATTATTTTCTAAAATCTTTAACTTCAATTTCTTTTTGAATATTATTCTTTCTAATAACTTTAATCAAGTTTTTCAAAATTTTAATTACATAATACGTTAATAAATTATTATAATTACATAAAACGTTAATAAATTAATATTAAAATTTTTTCCTTCCATTATTTGGTATTAGAAATTCAGTTTTTTTCGTTTATTGGAAGTGAGAAATAAAAAACCCAAATCACTTGTTTGGCAACTTTTCGGTGGCTTGGTTTGACACCATTATCAGGCCACTTTATTAAACAAAATTAAAGCAAATTTATGACTTACAAACTAAATAAAACTTCTTATAAAAAATATTAAAATTCTTATTTTTATATATAAATAAATAATTACATAGTTAAATTTAATTTAATTAGTTACATTAGTACCACGTCTTATTATTTGTCAAAAATAAAAACAAATTTTTAAGGCGAAGTATCACCCATCGTAAAGCAAATTAAAAACTGAAATAAGAAGGTGACAATTTACACTATATATAATACACGTGGAGTTTTAAATTATTAATTCTTTAAAATTAATTTTTTGCTTATATAATAATTTTTAAAAAATTTCAAGAACTCAAGTTTATTAAAATTTTAATTGAAAATTTCAAAAATCGAAAATTCAATTTTTTAAAACTTTTTTCAAAATTGAAAATTTGCTACAATTCAATTATTTCTAAAAAATTTATTTAAAATTCTTCTCTAAATTAATTTTTTTAATTACTTTAATACAGTTTTTCAACAATTCTGAGAAATAAAAAGTTTTTTAATTAAAAATACACTACAATTCTATTATTCTTTAAAGTTTTGTAAAAAAAATTTTATCAATTAATATTTATGAAAGTTTCAATTTAAAATCTTCTGAAATTTATTTAATTTCAAAACAAATTTTAACTCAAACTCCTACAAATTTAATTAGTAATTAAATAATAAATTGAATGTTAATTTAATTGAAATATTTTTCTTCAAATATTTACCAATATAATTATTATTCTTTGTTTAATAAATTATTTCGACAATTTTATTCCAATTTTTCAAATATTTCAATTATTTAAAGCATTTTTTCATTAATGTTTATATTTACAACAAAATTATAATTTTTGAAATCACAAAAAATGCAATTATTTCTAAAAATTTTAAATCAAACTCTTCCAAATTCAATTATTTTTAAAATTTTAATTAAAAATCTTGGTAAATTTAATTATTTTAATTCCGTGGTTTAAAAAAAAAAAATTTTTTTTGAAAATATTTCTGTGAAACATTATAATTTTAGTAGTATTTTTAGAAATTTGATATTTTTCTAGTACTTTTCATAAAATTTCCTGATTTCTCTGACAAATCTCACTTTGACTGACTTTTCCTGACCCGCGTGGCAACCCTGATTATTATTCCCGGGCTTATCTTTATTTTTTTGAATGGGGACGCATGAATCTTCCACAAATCCCATTTGACCTAAAATGACAATTAATCGAAATTCACTTAGCCGAATCACCAGTTGCCATAAATTATATTAGTTTTATTACTATATTTTTAAAACTAATTTTTGTTTTATCGATGATTAATTTGCTCAAATTTTTTTTATTCAGATATGTTATTTAATCGAAATTTCATTTCATCGAAATCTCATTCGTTATAAATACCATTGTCTCGAATTAATATATTTAACAGTATTAACTTTTTACCTAATTGGCATATAAACTACATCCTAATTGTTCTAATGTTCATTTAACATAAATTAACTTACCTCGAAATCCCATTAAGCCGAATGTTCATTTGGCCTAAAGATTATTTAACCTAATTATTGTTTTGCCGAAATATTGTTTCACCTAATTTTAAATTGTTCTATTAATTATTTAACATAAATCTCTTTTGCACGAATCGCCGTTTTACAGAATTACCGTAAATCAGAGTTAACACATTCCCTAATTCGCATATGACAAAAATCCCATTTGGCCTAAAATTAGGCAAAATGTTAATAGTGACGAGCCTAATTTTAGGCCAAATGAACATTCGGCTTAATGGGATTTCGAGGTAAGTAAATGAACATTAGAATAATTTGGATGCAGTTTATATGCCAATTAGGTAAAAATTTAATACTGTTAAATATATTAATTCGAGACAATGGTATTAATAACAAATGAGATTTCGATTAAATAACATATCTGAATAAAAAAAAATTAGAGCGAATTAATCATCGATAAAACGAAAATTAGTTTAAAAAATATAGTAATAAAACTAATATAATTTATGGCAACTAGTGATTCGGCTAACAATAAGTGAATTTTGATTAATTGTCATTTTAGATCAAATAGGATTTGTGGAAGATTCATGCGTCCCATTGAATAGGTCGCATCCACAATCTCGTTCATATTACATTCGTTTAGAAATTATTTTCTAAATTTAAATTTATTAAAAAAGTTATTTATTGATAAACCATGTGTTTCAGGTCGAATGCAAGAAGGCACAACCAAAGGAAGTGATGCTTCCAGCGAATCTGGCGAAGACGCGGGCGGCTGGCAGAGGTGCATACGGTGAGTTGGTGATGGTCGCGACACCCCCCACCACTTATCGTTACGCGCCGTATCCCCTTCCATCTGCAGCGGCGGCTGCACATGCAGCTGCAGCCGCTAGCGCAGCTACCCCCCACCACTTGCTCACTCCGATAGTCGCTGCTACACCGTCCGCTGCAGCAACCTATCAATATGGTGCTGCACCGGCGGCCGCTGCTGTTTACGACGTGAAACGAGCTCTCGCTGCTGCAGCTGCGGCTTATCGACCTCATCCTGCCGCCGCAGCTGCAGCCGCTGCCACTCGAGCTGCCACCCTCACCTATTCAATGAGTGATCTCTTAGGTGTTCAAGGTTTAGACATGGGAGCAGTTTATCATCCAATACCCACCATTGGACTATGACCAACGATTCTTGCACCATTGTCACGACCTCAGTAGAGGCAATTTTTTTTTTCTTTCATCACCAAAAGATATTTAGTAATTTACTATATTATTTTAATTTAGTCTTTATTCAGAAAATTTTGTGAATTTTAGAAGCTTAAAAAAATTGTTTTTTCCTAAAATTACTATTTTTATTTTTGCTTTTATTTTTTCTAATTATTTTTATTTGTGAATTTAAATATTCTAAACTGATTTATTTCCAAATTCATATAACTAAAGAAACTGAAAAAAGTTTAGGTAATATTGGAGACGCATGAAAAGAATAACGAAAATAAAATGACGCGGCGCACACCCAGAGAAATGATTTATTTGACTTAAATAAAAAAAGATATTTGTCTCAGAGCCTACTAAACTTTTATTTAAATTCGTATATTTAAATTAAATATATTTTTTATTTGATTTAAATAAATTTCTTATTTGTTACAAATATATTTATATTTAGGACAAATAAAAAAAATTGTTAATGTCAATAAATAATGCGGTAATGCCTCCTGCAGTACGCAGGCGCGAAATCTGATTGAAATACGTGACAGACAGATGAAAATCACGTTTGTCTCAAAACTAATATATTCAAAATCACTTCAAAATAATTCGAATTAAACGAAACAAAAATTAATGTGAGATTTATCAAAAGAATTGTTATGACGAATGCATAGAAAAAAAAAATTTACAGGAATTTTCATTCCATATGCAAATTACACTTTTGAGGTTATGTTCTTCGACAAAATAAATAAAAACTTTTTCAAAAAAAAAATAATATATGATTAATATTCAATTAATTTTTCCATTAAATTTAAAAAATTGTTAACCAAGTTTCTATTGTGTTTATCAATTTAAAAATATAAAAAATACTGAAAGTTACGAATGCCTCGTGTTAAAATCGTGTTTGAACAGACGACTGCACGATAAATTCACACCATCGCATCGCGGCGGAGATCTGCAGACGATATACAGTGAAGCGAGTTGCGCAGGCGTGCATTTTTGCACCAAATATACTTATATTTGAATCAAATATTCATTTATTTCTTACAAATAAACATTTTGTATTAAATGCAAATAATTTTATATATTTCTGAGAATAAACCATGCAAATATTTCGATTAAATATCAGTTTATTTCTTTTAAATAAAAAAATTTATTTGTAACAAATAAAAATATTTTAAATATACATTTTTAGTTAAAATAAATATATCATTTCTCTGGGTGCACTTATTGTTTTCTCGTTTTTCTTTTTCTTTCTATTTTCTCAAGTGAAAGTAATAATACTTGTGTGAAAATTGAATTTGAGACAAATGAGAACGAAAGACATATCTCGTGAAGTGCAATCTCTATAGAGTAGCTAATTCTTTCATTTTATTCGGATTAGGAACATGAAATCAAATTCTAACGAGACTGTTCGATCAGCTCTGTTCAGGAACACTGTGATCGTAGTAAAAAAAAAAAGAAAGAAAAATCTTACGAAATTATAGTTTAGATGTCAAGTATTATAGTCTCTATCACTCGAATAATAAAAAAAGAAAAGTAGTAGTTACCAAATGGGGCCTCATTTTAATTAGTCAGAATTTAGCGACTGAGGAACAATTATTACGTACATCAAAAAGACTGGTAGTGAATTGTAGAAAGTAGATACAAAAACAAAAAAATATTAGGACAATAAAAAAAAATGTTAAAAAGAAAATACATTCTGACAAGAAGCGCTCAATGGTGATTAGTCAATAGCCCGTACGAATTTCCAGTTGCGCGCGCAACGAGGAGTGGGGATAGCGTTCACTGCGTTTGGTTACATCTAAAATGTTGCGTGCGCAATATTTTTTAACTCAATTTATTGTTAGTGAAAACTCTCAAAAAAATAACAAAAATTAATATTTACAGAAAAAAAATAATGTGTGATTTAAAAAAGTAAAATATAAAATTGAACTAGATCTCGTTAACAAATGAAACAAAATTTTTTTTTTTTTAGAAAAAATTCTAAAATGATTTATTATTGACTGTGGTGGGTTTAAAGTAACTTTTTAAGTTTCACGTTAATTCCTTATAATTGTCATTAGAAGAATTTGAGACACTAATTGATTTGTGATGGGGGGGAAAAAAAAAGTAAAAGCATTATATTGTTGTAAAAGATGTAGCTGATTCATTTTCGAGGGCAGATTACCAGCTGTATCGTATAATTAAGTTGCAGCGTCTATCACACTTACCGCTAAAAGCACTTCAATTAAAATCCCGAGGAACTTAATGCCGTCAGCTGTTCAAGAACTCGAAAGCCCTCAATCCTGACCTATCGTATAATTTCAAAGCAACTACATTCCCTTCAATTCCCATAATGCAAAATATATAAACACTTGAATTTTTCTTTTTTAAATCCATATCGTACGGGCACTTATAAAGTCAATTCCGTAGTAGATCATATAAAAAGAAAAATAAATTAAAAATATTGTAGCAATTGGATATGTAGTGTCAAATAAATTTATTTTCGACATTGAAAATTTACTTACTGCGCATAATCTGCGAACTTTAGCTATGAAATATAATATATATATAAATATAATTAGTTTGAATTCACAGAAAAAACGTGGACTCATTTTTTGTTTGAAACTCATTTTGAGATGGATTATCAAATTGAGTAAACGGCAACTTCAAGTTACTTAAAATAATACTCTGGGGATAAAACGTGCTGCGCCATCTCTGAGGAGGAAGGGAATTTAAAATTATAAACATAACCTCTTTGAAGTGACACAAATATTTATATGTAAATTCAAAGAATTTAATTACTTTTTAATTAATTAAAATAGCAATGATTTGATTAAATTAAAATAAATAATAAACATAATAATATATTACCATCCTAAGCAGCTTTGAAAAAATAATGGTTTATTATTTTTTAATGTAAAAGATCGTTTGTTATTATGTTTAAAAAATTAAGTAAGAAATAAATATTTATGTTTCTAAATGATAAAAATTAATTAAATTTAAATATTTTTATTTAATTGAATTGTTTTTTTTTTTATATAAAATTTAATATTTTGTTTGCAAAATACGGTTTTTATTTATTTTTTTTTTAAGTTTCTTTTGGTAATAAAAGTTATATATTTCTAAATTTGCGTGTAGAATGAAATTTTTATAACTTTTAGAAACAAAAATTTTTTAAAATGATTAATTAAATTTTAATTGTTTTTAATGATAACACTGAAATATTTAATTTTTTGTTTTTATAACTTTTCAAATTTAGCGTTAAGTTTTTCCACAGTGGCGCCATTAATTCTAACAAGTCCCACGCTACCCAGATAATACGTAAACTTGCAGCAACCTTGCCGCGCAATATTGCCAACATTGTACGGCAAACTTACCGCAAGCTTACTGCAAGTTTACATGCTATCTGGATATCAGATTGGCAACAGTAAAATATAAAAAGATATTTATAACCTAAAAATTGTTTGCCTTTTATTGCATAATTATAAAAAGAAGTAACGTAAAATAAATATTTTATTGCATCTGTGTGTGTGTGTGTGTTAATCAAATAAAAAAAATGAGACCAGGTTTTTTCTGTGAAATGTAGTGATGAAAGAATTGAAAAAACTTAGAATTGAAAAAACGTGGCCTCACTTTTATTTCTAATTTAATTTCAAACAACGAACAACATTTATTATTGAAAAATGTCAATTTTTGTGTATTTAATAGAAAATTATTATTTAAAGAGTAGAAAATATTCGAGTGGGTCTCGGTTAAAAAAAAGCGCGTCGTAAACGTATCGTACATTCCATCTGTGGCGGCTCGCTGTGATTTTCTTTCGGAGAATAAAAAAAAAAAAAAAAATGATCTTGTATCAAGACAAATAATTTATCCGAAATTACAAAAATTATTATTATTAGAGTGGGTTACTATCGGAGTTTACAGCAGGTGGTGTAGCAGACTTCTCATACCCGTCGCGCCTTTTGAGATATTTTTCGCTATAACTTCATGAAATTTCATAATAAAAGAAGTATTCTATATAACAAAAGAAAAAAAAAAGTATACAAAATGAAACGCGATTATTTATCCGTACAAAATAAATAAATATATTATATATACACACACAAAGTATTATGTATTACATATATATAATTCAGAATTAGAGACCAAATTAGCGTTCAGTAAAAAAAAAAATTCGATTATTGTATCTCAATACGCGTTTACATTCATATAGTAATTTAAAAAAAACGACGCTACTTTGAGCTCTCTTTAAAGTTCCATGAAAAAAAAAATATATATATATATGTAATATACTAATACATAAATATGTAAATCTATATATTGAAAAAAAATTACTCGAGTGACTTTTCTGATTATTAAAAAAAAGTGTTCAGAAAAGTTGATCCTCGTTTGTATTTGAAAAACAAAATCATTCTAAATAACGGCTGAAAAATTGTTTTGTACCTTTTACCTATATTACAACGCCATAGTATTTGATATTAACATATATATTATATATATATTGATATTGATATATTTTATGAAAATCATTATTATCAGCATTATTATATCTAATTAGTTTTTTGTAATAGATAATTATTCGTACATATCGAAAAGCATATTTCTTAGGTAAAAAAAATAGGTGAAACACTATCGTCTCACACCTTTAGTATTTATACATTTATTATACATATATATATATATATATTGATACCTAGACGATCTAGGATCCATTAGTTAGAGCGAATAATTTTTTGGCGAACAGTATATACGTTCCTATTCTTATTATTATTATTATTATTATTATTATTGGAATTTCTAGAGAATTAGATTTTTGAGAAGCCGTTATTAATAATTTTAGCTTAGAATATGTTTTAGGTATATTTCTTTGTGGAAGAAAAAAAGTGTTTTCACTCGATTATATATATATTATATATATATATAGAGATAGAAAAAGAGGGAGAGACTTTTTTTTTTATTATCGAGATTCTCTTGTCAAGAGAACGTCTAACGAGTCGCAAAACCCAAGAGGTCATTACTGTTGAGATTCAAAGTTTTACGTCGATACGACTTTCGTCTCGTTAGCCGACCTCGAGAGATGCTCTCTAAGATGCGCAAAAAAAAAAAAAAACTTCGTCCTAGTTATATATAAAATAACTATTAATCAGACACTATAAAAATTAGAGGTGGGGGATTTTCATAAAAATGTTTAAGCAAAATTTTTTAAAAAAAAGGGGGAATGAATTTTTGAGTTAGAAATTCTTTTTTCCAAATTTAAATACATAATGAAAATTTTTTTCAAAAAAATTGAGACGAAATTTTTCTTTCGCATATATATGAGATCTACGAAATTAATGTCTTCCACCGAGAAAGTAATAAATGAGCGGCTGTATCAGAACCTATACTATATATATATACATTATTATAATTAATATACTTAACAAGCTACGTAATATTTATATATACATATATAAATTTATACCTGCTGCAGGTATACACTAAATACATAATATCTATTCGTATATACCTATATCTACCTACCTATACCTACCTATATACTTGTCATAGAACTTAACACTTCTAAGCTATAGCATCATACCTTATTATTAATCCGTGAGACGTGTGTCCTAGAAAGTACGTACTTTGCCCGAGAGGCGCAACACTGTCAGTTTCGTAAGTAGACCAGACCTTAACATGAGGTTTTTTTTTTTCTTTTTTTTTTTTTGTTGAATCTGTAATGCTTTTTTGGGCTTGATTTTGATTCCACCGGATGCCATATCTACTGAATCTCTTCTATAATGAAAAAAAAATTCAATTTTCTTTTAATAAAATTATAATTTCTTAATTAAAATTATTTAAACTGATTCGATTATAAAATTATAAAAAAAAGTACTTTCATGTAAAGTTACATATATTTAATTTTCATGTTTGCATAGATTTGCGATTCTTAAACTAGAAATAAAAGAATAAAAAATCCAGAGAATTGAATAGAAAAACAAAAATTTTTTTATATATAAATATAAGAAATAATTATTTGAATAAAAATGAAGAGATTCAGTAAGAAACTAAAAAAAAATTTTTTTTTTTAAAAGCTTCCAAAAAATAATCAAAGACAGCGAAAAAATGTCAATATGAATTCAAGTTGCCAAAAGTTTCTCAACGAAGTGCTAAATGTTATCGTTGTACCGTCTATATTGCGTATATGAAACGTCGATTCTTCATATTCTAAGAAAGTAATTAATAAAAAAAAAAAAAAAAGAAAATGCCAATTATGCGCAAATTAACAACATGCAATATAAATAATTCATATCTGAATGTATAATAATGAAAAATACAATTATAATATTTATGCAATATAATCAATATAATTTATTGATTATAATACAATTAATTTACAAAAAAAAATAATATAAGTTAAATATTATAGTTATAAAAATAATTAAAATATATTATAATAAATACATAATGAACATATAATAATATACGTACGATAAAACGAAATATAAAATATTATATACAGTATTATATACAGTAACTATATTTGAGATGCATTTAATAAACATGAAAAAAAAAATGTTGGAAAAAACAAGAAACTATTGTTGTTATTACTGCTGTCAATTTTTTTTTTGTGCGAAAATCAATTTTTAATGAAAAAAAAAAGAAACTGAGGTTTTCCTTGACGTAATCAAAACCAGCCCGGTAGAGAATTAGGTACGGAATCACTAATACTTTTAATATGTATCAGTGTATCTTATATTATTATAGAATAAATGCTCTATCATAAATAATCTGCGTATATTGTGAAAACAATATCAATATGGATTCTAGAATAGTGAGCTAGTAGAGTAGATTGTGGTCGGTGTTTTTTTAAATATTGTATATCGTCAATATATATATGTCGTAGTGATGTTGGCACATTTCTTCATAAACATAATTATAAAAAAAAAAATTATTATTAAAAAAAATTACAAAAACTAATTATTAAAAACAATTATGAAGTAAATTAACAAAAATGAGAAATTAAAAAAATATTCAGAATTTTTAATGAAGGAGCATCGCTACTACAATTGAGAACGCTGCGCGTGATGCATCAAGTTACACTGCGCGAGAAGAGAGGGAAACAACTACTTCATCGAACAGCAATAAATGAAAAAAAAAAAAAAAATACTTTCTACATTTTCACAAATACTCCTTTTTAAAAATTCTGAAATGTTTTTTTTTTCTTTTACAAAAATTCGAAAAAAAATAAAATCGATATAAAATGTTTATGAAAATATTTGTTGACTTTAGTCGATATTCTAATAAGCTACATAGTGAACCTAGAAGATCGGTAACTCTAACTAACTAATACCTTTAAAGGCTAAAATAACCATAGTTCATAGGAAGGTTTATTTTGTCGTAGATTGTAATATATACCTCGGTCGCGCGTAGTTAATTATTATTTAGAACCTATTATTATACAAGAAATTAGTCGATGCGTTAGTCAAGCGACATAGTCAAATTCTTAGTTGTGTGGTCTTTTTTAAATTAGTGTCAAATTATGAAATTTCATGGTTGTCTCTCTATCTCTTTTTTTTCATTTCTTCTTCATTTTTTTTCTCTCTCTTTTTCTCTTTACTATTTTTCTCTTGCTCTTTCTTTCTAACCTAGACGCTTTTAATCCATTTTTAATAAAAAAAAAAAAAGTTTCATTTTACTTTAATTTCACTTTGTTTGAACCTAGACACGTTTCCCAGTTATTTTTTCGAATTTCTGCAAGTGTTTAAAAAAATTCGTTCACGCATACCCAAGAAACACGTAATATATCCTCAATATCAAGGTAATATTACCGGGAATATTACTGTAATATTAACGGTAATATTACAGTAATATTACAGACTGATTTGAGTTATTCATAAAGCATAAAAAACGTAAATATATTATAAGTCAATTTGGCTTGTTGGTAAAACTCTGGACTCGTGTGCTTTGAGTTCGGGGTTCGATTCCCTCGATGGGTAGATTTTTTTCGTAAAGAAATGTTCCCATAATATTACTGTAATATTCTCTTGTAATATTACCTTAATATTACAGTATAATATTACTGCAATATTACTGTAATATTACCTTAATATTAGCGCGTAATATTACAGTAACATTACCGGTAATATTACCTTGAGGCGGACATTTTAAGATCACTGTAAGATTACTGTAATATTACAACGTTATATTACGAATCTTACATGTAATATTACCTTGATATTGAGGTTATATTACGTGCTTCTTGAGTAATTTTATATAATATATATATATATATATATAAAAAATTTACTTTTCTCTCAACATTTGCAGAAGTATCGACTGCACAGACTGGTGAAAATCCTGATTGAAATACACTATGAGCTTTACTTTTATTTTTATGATATATAATAAATAAAAAAAAAAAACATAATAAATCATTCAAACAAATTTTTTTTTTTTAAAAAAGTTGTCATTTAGATGATGTTATTAATTGAGTTTGTTTTTCCTTGTAGATTTTATGTGGTCCCTGGGAGCATTACCTGATGGTGAGTAATTTATTTTTATTAAAAATATAAAATTTTATTTTTATATTGTCAAACTTACATAGAAAATCAGGTATTTATTTAGATTGTTAATATAATAATGAATATGGAGACTGGTAAAGTATATATATACAAATGATTATATTAATTCTTTTGCAGATCGAGGGAGTTTTTTACTCCCTCCTTTAGTGGAATATATTATGTTCTCTAAATTCCAATTAGTGAGAATTCGTTTACTATTTTAAATTAGTGAAAATTTCAACTCATTTTTTAGTTATTTCTCACTAATTAGTGAAAGAAGCAAAAAATTATAGGTTATGTTTTGTGTATTTTCATGCGCCAAACATAAAAAACCTAACCTACAATTTTTTGCTTCATAAATCTGTTTTTCCGAACGAGTCGCATGTATTTGTTCCCTCAGAGGGGATAAAAAAGTACCTCGATTTGGAATCAACAAAATTATATACAGAGAATATTTGATTCATATATAGGTGATTTTTCAAAAAAACGTAATTTTCGAGGGAGAATATTGTTTAACTGGAAATTCGATTTCTTTTATCAATTAATATTTGAAGATTCTAGGTCAATTTTTCTTTTATCAATTTCAATTTTTTAAATTATGAGTTTTCTACGAAAATTGAGGTTAAGGAGGTTCTCTACCTACATTGCTAGTCAAAACAATCATCATTTAAGTTTTCATTTTTTTCACGTAGCCTAACGCTTGGCAACGTTGGATTTATACTCCCCCCGTTCCGTTTCGTGTCGTCTGCAAATTTTTTACATTTTTTTAATTAAACATGAACTAAGAAAGAGTAGTACAGAGAACTTCCTCGTCCTCTAACAAAACTGACTCTGCGCAACTTTGTTCACAGATGGCGCCACTAAACGCCCGCGTAAATTTAAATGTAACATTAGCCTCTATGAAAAAACGAACACCTTTATATAGGTTAAACTATAAGAATATTATTGATTAATTTAAAATAGCTATCATTAAGCCCTCTTTTTGAAGAATCACCTATGTAAAAAATTTTTAATAAGACAAAAATAATAAATAATACATAATTGTATATTTGGTAAAATTCAAATTATCTTTTTTTTTTTTTTTTTAATAAAAAAAATGTTATGTTCACAGGTTTCCCAGCGGCGGCGTACGCGGCATACGCGGCAGGCCGCGGTTATTCTGGGTACCCTAGTTTCGGACTACCCTACCCGACAGGTAATCATCTTAGTCTTAACCACCATAATACGGCCCACATTGCGCCCCTTAACCTAAACTTGAGTCATATACAAGCGCCGCCCACACCACATCACAATCCCCCAACCCCAACAGCTCTTTTCTACCATCCTAATTTGGACCTCTACAATGCCATGCCTCTGTGAACTAACTTACTTGTACTTCCCGCGCACTCTAACCCATTGCCACTTACTAACTCTGCTGGAACCCGCAGATGAAGTTTAGGTACAAAAAAAAACGAATACAATGAACTTTACAAATAATCAGGGAAAAACAGAAAGTTAAGAATCGTATTTTTCCTCTACCGTCAAGAAACTTCAAAAAAAAAAAAAAAAAAAAAAAACAAAGATTTAATAAATCTCTACTATACGATTCTTTGTGATGTTCATTTAATTTCGTAAATTAATATGTGTGAAAATTCATATACAAAAAAAGTATTAAAAATCTTTATGTAATTTTAAGCATAAAACATTCCTTAGGATAAACGATTTTCAAGGGGTATGAAATATTCGACTATTATGAAAATAGTTGATTTTTCAGTGTAAGTCATAACTACAATTGTACAAAAAAAAAAAAAATATCGTTAATTATTTATTAACTAATAAGATCGAGAATATTAATTATTTAATTATAAGTGAAAAAACAATGGATTCCCATTATACTGCACCTAAGAACAAATTTAAAAAAATAAAATCATTTTTCCGATTAGGATATATATATATATACTATAAAAATATTCACTAAATTAAGAAAAACGATGTTATTTCCAATGATTGTCGATAAAATAAATATTTCCACGACAATTTTAATGAAGATATTATTGCCAAATAATATAATGAATAAAAATGATAATACCACTATAAGAATATACTAAAAATTAAAAAACATACAAGAATATAAAAGATCTCGTGCGTGTATGTTAAAATTTGTACATATATATTTGAGTCAAAAATTACGTTTTATTATTAAAAAATAATTAATTTCTTATAATGTCAATTTTTAGAAAAAATTCACTTTATTTCATTAACTAATTATTTTGTTATACAAAAATATATTTCTTAAATTAAAATTCGATTTTTAAAAATCTGTTATAAATATAATATTTGCGCACCTGAAAATAGTTTGGCATTTCAATTCTAATAATTTTTAATCATTTTACAATTTAAGGATTCAATTTGTAATTATTTTTGGATTATAGATTAGATATTTAGAACACACTGAAAATGTGTTAAATTCGCATCCAAAATAGAATATATATTCTCGTGTGGTTTGAAAATGAAAACGCGCGCGCGCGCAGGCAATATACAAAGTTGGTTTTGCATCGACCGCTAAAATCCGATGAGAAACGTCCACTTTCGCAGAATCTGATCGGATTTTCAGAGGATTTACATTTCGGTTCGTATTATAGACAAAATCAACTCTCTTTTCCTTATATTTGAACGGGACCACAAACTCGGTCATGTGACTCGCGATTTTCTGTAAATATCACACGAGAGCCCACGCGAGTCGGATTATAATATTTCACACGGCGTTTATAGTGAATTTTTCTTATTAAATAATTTTTAATTGAATTTTTTTTTTTAAATTAATAAATTTGAAATAACGAGATTTTTTAATCGAAATTTTTAGAACTGTTATTTAACTCGAGTTTTTACTTATGTTATTATAAAGATCGTTTCAAATTAACACAAAACTAGACAAAATTTTTTCGAAAATCGTCAGAATCATAAATAAACCACATAAAAGAAAGAGAAAAGGAATTTAAAAAAAATTATTTAAATGTCAATTTTCTTTGTGGATAAATAAATATCTATTTTCAAAACACAACTTTTTAATAGAAGAATTATTATTTTTCAGTTAATTTCAAATAAAATTAGATAATTATTTGGCATTCTCTCAATTTAAATTAGTGAGAATTCGTTTCCTTGATTCAAATTAGTAGAAATTTTCACTAATTTTTAGTAAAATTATATTAAATTTAGAGGGCGTATGAATTTCCCATAAAAATTATTAATTACAATTTTTATTTTACAGAATTTTATTAAATATAATAATAATAATTATTTTTTATCATTTTTTTTTATTAATATTTAACAGTATTTCTTTTTAAATTAATTTTTACTTAACAAACTTTTAAGGTACCGAATTTTTCTTTACCAACTTTTTTTAAAAATAATTTTTATTTAACCAAACATTAATTTAGCGCAGAATTAATTCATTAATTCAAGAGAATTTTAAATGATTTGAATTTTAGAATTGAAGAATATTCAATTCATCGAATTTTATTTGCACGAATTGTTATTTGACAGAATTCTGAAATCGACGAATTTGTCCGAAATTGCAAATGTCCAAACAAACAATCGACAGAAATATTTAGGCGCGTATTTCAAAATTAACCAATTGGAAATTATCAAGAAAATTGTTATTGATTAATATTAAAAATTTTGCGCCAAAATTTTTCTGTCAATTGTTTGTTCGGTCATTTGCAATTTCGGACAAATGAAGATTCGGTGAATTGAAAATTCTGTCATTATACTAAATTAATATTCGATTAAATAAAAAAATTTTTTAAATAAAAAATTGATAAAGAAAAAATTCTCTCAAACTAATGATTTTTGTAGGAAATTCATGCCCTCCAAGTTAGGTAATATTTTTTTTTACTATATAGTTTTAGTGAAAAAAGACTACAAATTAGTAGAATTGTTTACTAATTAAAATTTTAAATTAAAAATTTTTAAATTTTCACTAATTCAAATTTAGAGTACACTTTTTTTCGAAAATAATAAATTTAATAGTGAAGTGGGAGCTTTATGTACGGAAAAAAAAACAATAATTATGTTGAAAGTTGAAAAAGCTATTCTGGATTTCGCTTTTGACGCGAATCGTTAATTTGAGTCGATGTCACAATGGTTTTTGATATAGCAACTTTGCGAGCGTCTATTTTTTAATATCCGTTGAACTGTAGAAAGATCTTTATTAACGCCTCCCCCTCCCAAAACCCCTTTGTGCGAAAAGACAAATAGCAAATGGGTGACCACCGAGGGAGTAGCAATTCCTTCGATGCTTTACCAATCCCTCCCCTCTATTTCGTTTTTCATCATCCTTGCCTCCAATTCACCTCTCCTTCATATTATTTGAACATATCTGTTTTGCTCTCTTGTTTTCGTTTCTTTTTTTTTTTTTAATTTCTCTTCATTTGCCTTCGTTAGAATTTATTTTAATCAAAAGAGAAAAAAATCGAAATTATGCAATTAAATTTGAAAAATTTGAAATTATTTGTTATAAAAATTAAACAAATCAGGAGGAATTTTTTTATTTTTAATAATTAGTGAAGGAGAAAAAAAATTACGTCTATTGAAATTAAGAACAAGAGAAAGAGAGAAATAATAATGAAGAGCGAATGGAAGAGGAGAAACTAATAGAAACACTTAAGCAGTTTTTGATTTAAAATATTAAAAGAGCATGGTAACACAAATATATCAGAAGAAATTGCGAATCGTAAACCTTTTTTTCTTTATATATTATACTTTTATAGAAAATAATTTCCTGTTTGTAACGCGATCGCGCGAATTTCGTCAGGAATGGTAAACGACTCATAAATAATGTATAATGTTTTTCGGACGTTGGCTCGTACCCCCGAAAACAACCAAAAAAAAAAAAAAAAAAAAACCTCATCCCTTGTCTTTTCCCTTCAGATGTGTTTTCATATCTTTAGCTTTTCTCCCTCGTTTTTCTCGCTTCTCAATAATATACTGATTCGAAAATACATTACCCTCCCTATATATATCTCACCACTTGTTATGAATGGTTCACGAGGCATGGCCGTAGAAATTTAGAAGCATCATTTTTTTTTTTCCTTTTTTTTTTACTTTTCTATATTCTTCTCCTTACAGAATTCTCCAATGTCCGAAAAACATTATCGAAAACGGGTATATATTTTTGTCAAATATTGTATAAAATATTTTATAGAAAATTTGTAAAATACAAATTTGTTATTTTAAAGTCTTTTATTTTTTCAAAATTTTAATTTCAACATTTTTAAAAATTCTAATACATAAGATCAAAAATTGAGGGAACAAATATTCATATATAAAATTATTGTTTCGATTTTGAAAGATCGGTAAAAGTTCGAAACACTTTTTATATTTAAAACACTAAAAATAGTGACTAAACACTAAAATTTATTAAACGAAGAATAAAAAGTATATTCAATACTAAAATAACGAATTTGAAATAGAGGAAAATAATCCAAACTTAAGAAACTAAGCAAAAAAAATTTAATGAAGAATTAGAGATCTAAGGGAACAAAAAAAAATTATAGAAATAGCAAAAAAGCTAAAATTATAATCCAAAAATGAAAAAAAGGGTAAGATCGCAATTTCTCTGATATTAATAAACGCTTTTTCCATCACTTAATCGTAGTAAATAGTGTGTAGTGTCTGCAAAATAGCTTCTGTGCAAAAAAAAAATCAACTGTTTTGCCTGTGATTTCGAGAAATGAAAAATTAATAAAAGAGATCAAAAAAAAAATCATAGGAATTTTAGGGAGTTGGTGGTACTTTCAGGTGCATTGGGACTACCGACTCTCACTACCGGAGATACATCTCTTCACAGCTATTCGACAGAATACAGAATCATTCCCGAACAATGAGTTCCAAAAAGAAAAAAAAAAAAAAAAACGCATGTCGTTTACCACGATGAATGCGTATATGTCAATGTGCAATACACAAGCAGACAATGACCAATTATGGTATTTGCAGAACGTGCTGGAGTTATATGGACGGAAAACCCGAAGAAACTCTTGTTTATGAATGACATTTTTATACAAAAAAAAAAAAGAGAAAAAAAGAAGGAAAGGCTTATATCAACTAATTTTTTTTTTCCCGCGCCATTACAGAACAAAGTATATAATATATACGTTCTAAACACCGAAAAAAAGGAAACTAAATATAAGAATATCTTTGCGGATATTTAAGAATATT